GGACAAAGGGCCTGGAATGCTGACCAAAGGGGGTAGACCTATCCTGAAGACTTTGAAGTGTTCTAGGAGAATGTGTAACTGTCAGGGCAATTATTCATGGAAAAATAAAGCAAAATAAAAGAGATTTTTTAAATATGTGGGGAGTTACTTCAGGAATATTCAAATAATCTAGGGTACCAGAGAGAAATGAACCTAAGACATGTTCAGGCAGGTAGGAGCAGAGCAATTGGATTTGAGGCTGTGGACCTGTTCTCAGAGGAATAGTATCACAAGTAGAGCCTAGGAATGAGAAGGGATTATTCTCAGGGGTGAGATCCTGTTTCTAGATGGGAAGGGGATGCAAATTACAGGAGGAGTCATTTCAGTGAAGACACTGTCATTCTAATTTGGTACATTTAAGCTGACAAGTCTCGTTTTCAACCTACCACCAGAATTTTCCGTTTCTGTTTACCCATCTTTCACTGACTATCCTCTGTTACCTATTAACATGCGTGCATTCTCTCTAGAGTGAAAGATTGCAAGTATGAAATGGAACTTTTATTCCTTCTTGTATCCAATGCATAACAGAAGCTGAAGAAATAGCAAATCATGGAATTGAATCTGAAGTAGGAATAGAGGTGGAATGGACTAGAAGGAGACTAATAAATGTCTGGGTTCCTATTTAGAATCAACTGGACTTCTAAGTCTATTTAGAAGACAATAGCGTTCAGGGGACTCAGAAAGCCTCACTTTTATTAAGCAAATCTAGATGCTGAATATGTTGATCCCCAACTCCATCCTATATGTGATGAAATTTATTGTACTGGAAACAACCAGCCCTAGAGATTTATGTGACCAATATATTATGAGGAGTAGCCTAGGAGAGATGTAGAGGAGGCAGAAAAGCTTACTTTATCCAGAGCAGAGCTTCAAAAAGAACCCTCCACCTTTAGGCAGGGACAGTAAGGGATGGGTGAGTGTTAAGTCAACCTCAAGGAAATGCATTTGTGATGTACGAGATCGCTGTACATGGGTTTATGTAGTGCAGGTCTTAGATGGTGAAAAGGAGCAACTGGTTCACTGAGATCAGAATATATTGTTATACTGTCTTCCCACTAAACCTTAGAGCTTGGGAGGCACTATTTTTTTCTTTTTTAATTAAGGATTTTGGCATAAGGCACTTGTGCTGGCCAGAGAGAGAGACAATGAGAGGGAAAGTGAGAAATCACCCTCCAGGAGGAATAGCCACACCGTAAGCCCTTCTCCATTCTCTTCCTGGGATTTTGGGCACACACATACTCAACTGGTGTGATTTTCAAGCAGCCAGGTCTGGGGCACAAACTACAGGTGGGAGTCCAGTGCCATGACCACTATGCCACCTGCTGGTCCTTGTGAAGCACTTCTAGGAGCAACCAGAGTTATTTCTGCTGCTCAAGGAAGGAGAGAAGAGGAAGAGAAGAAGGAGAACAACAGGAGGAAGACAGAAATGAAGGAAGATGGGGTGAAGTTCCTGAGGCCCCATAGATAAGGTGTTCTGTCCCAGGGTCCTGTTCTAACAGGGTGAGAGAGGCTTTGTACCATTTTCCCACCTTCTGTTTCCTTCTCAAGGACTTTGCTCTCTTGATCCCTCTCAAGAGGGCTCATTTTGAGACCCTCACAGATGAAGCAGGTAAGTTCTAATAATCCTGA